CCCCCCCCCCCCCCCCCCCCTCGCCACAGTGATCCTCTCCTGCAAGCCGTCCACCCGGTAAGGAGAGCTTTTCACCCGTCCTCCCCAATTTCCTCTCCTCGTCCCCAGCTCGCCCTCGACGACGTGAGCATGTCCTCCGGCGCTCTGATCCAACCGACCACACTGCGCAGCCCTCACCCCTCGCTCCCCTGTGATCGCATGGACAACCCCTTCCTTGCTCGACATGTCCCCTCCTCGCCGATGGGAGGGGGCCATGAGCATCACCACCACCACCACCACCACCACCACTTTGTGGCAGACATCGGCGGGCCAGCTTGCTTCACACTTTCCCCCCCCTCGGCTGCCGGGCACTGCAACGGCACCTCGACCGCTCGGTCCCTCATCACGCCGCCCTCGTTTGGCACGCCCAGCGCCCTGGCGGCCACCCTGCCCGGGCCCAGCCATCGAGCCCTCTGGGCCGGGGCCGCGCCCGAAAGCGACATCCTAGATGCCGCCCGGCCGCACCTCAAGCGCAAGCCCATCACCCTCGGTACCTCTCGGCAGCATGTCTCTCCCCGCCGCTTCCCCGCTTCCCCCCCCCTCCCCCCCCCCCCCCCCTGTTGGCGGCCCCATCCAGCGCATTGACAATCTCCTCCCTCCGCTCCCTCCCCTCCTCCGCCGTTGGGCCAAATCAATCGCAGCCCACCCTGCCGCATCGCCCAGCATTTCGCCCCAGCAGCCTGAGGACGCCCTGACGAAGGGGCTCTATCCCATCGGCGGTCGGCCCGCCACCGGCATGGCCCCCGGGCCGGGCGACCTCTCCCCGAGCGAGGGCGATCTCTTCCGACGCGAGCCGGTCTTCTCCCCCCGGCCGAAGAACCTGGCCGCCACCCGTCGGACACAGCAGCCACAGCCGCACGTCGTGCCGTCGGAGTCCTCGGGGCACCAGGCCAACCCGGCCTCCGGCTGGACCCCCTCGCCATTTGTCTTTTCTCTGGCCGGCATGGACCCCGCCACTTCGGGCACCGGGACATTCCACTCGCCCCTGAGAAGCACGCCGGCCTCCCTCTCCAGCTTCAACATTTCTCCCGAAGCCCCAGGGCAACAGGGCGGGCTCCCCCCTACGCCCTTGCCGCCGCCGCAGCACCAACAGCAGCAGCAGCAACAGCAGCATGCTACTGGCTGTTCCACCTCCTTCCTTGCCACGCCAATCGCCACCCCCTGCGCCTCGCCGGTCATTGGCGGCGGCAATAGCAGCGCCTCCGCCGCGGCCCTGTATAGCCGCAGCCCCACCTCCAATGACCTGCACCGTTCGAAACGCCACCAGTCGGCGCACTCGTCCGGTTCGTCCTCAGCAGTGGCCTTCCTTTCGCGCAGCCGGCCCAATGCCACGTCTGCCCCGGACATCATCACTCCCAACGGCGGCAGCGGCAGCGGCAGCGGCGGCACTTCTTGCGGGATTGTCTCATCGGCATCGGCGTCACTGCTTGGCTTGACAGCCGAAGAGGGGTCCGCCTCTGAGGGGGGCAGCCTCTTGCTGGGCAGCAGCTCCACCACGCCGAGCATCCCCTCGGCTTCGCAGCTCGTCCGGTCCAGCTCGTCGCCGCTCTTCCTCGAGTCGAGCTCCTCCTCAGATAGCCTCTTCCAGGGCTCCGGCTTCGCTGCCCCTTCGGCCGGGGGTGGCCTGCCGCCCACGGCAACCGCCGGCTTCGGGGGAGGACGCCCCTTCCAGTCCCCCACCGGTAGCCACCACCTTTCAGACATACTTCACTCCTCCTGGACGCCGATCGAGCGCTCCTTCCCGCCCCCCGCTCCCGGGCACTACCTCAATCCCCTGAAGGACATGAGGGCGGCCATGGCGTCGCTGCACCCGCACCAGCATCAGCCATCGCAGCAACCGGCCACCACCGACAGCGACAGTGATGACCACTTCCCGGCCCCGCCGACACCAGCCTCCCTGCGGTCGGTCAGCCCGGAGTCCTCCGGTTCGGCATCATCCTCCTCGTCTTCCTCCCAGGCCACCGGGGCCCGGGCTCCCTCCCCCTCGACCAGCCAGCTGTCGACCACACCGACCTCCAGCGCCGCACACTATTACCTGGCCACGTCGGGTCGTCGGCGAGCGGTCGTCTACGGCCAGCCTGGCGAGGACCTGTCCTGCCCGTTCACGGCTGCGGCGGCCGCCGCCGCTGCCGCCGCCGCCGCCGCCGCCGCCTCCACTGCCGCCGACCAGCAGCAGCAGCAGCAGCAGCAGCAGCAGCAGCAGCAGCAATTCTCACACCAGTATCCCCTCTCCGTGGCACCGACGACGGTTCCCATGCGGGGTGGCGCCCATGGCACCACGGCTGCCTCCCAGCAGCAGTCCTTCTTCCCTTCGGATGGCGGGTCCCTCTCCTTCATGCGGCAGCAGGGCTTCGAGCAGTCTGGCTTCCGGGGCACGGCATCCACATCCCCGGTGTCCGGCTCGTCGTCCACCTCCTCGCTCAGCTCGCTCTTTGGCACGTCACAGGCTGCCCCCATCTCGACGACTGCCTCCACCAACTGTGGGGCTTCGGCTGACCTGGAGGAGGATGACCGCATGATGATGAGGATGGAGACCGACTGCGACGGTGACTGTGACGGTGACCAAGCCATGTATTTTTAAATCCCCCCCCCCCCCCCTCCCCCCCGTTCCTCCCGTCTCCGGCTCCCTGTATTTTACGATTGTATCCTAGATTCTCCGTCCCCCCCTCACATCTCCCCTCCTCTTTTGCTTCTCGCGCGCGTGCGCGCGCGCGCACGGGGCACGGCCCTGCGGCGGCTTCTCCGCATTACTCTGTCGCCCCGGGGCGCCACGCCTCCCCTCCTCTTCCTCCTCCCTCTTTCCCGGCCGGACATCTTCGATGTCGCAATCCCGCCAGTTTTTGACCACGCCCTCCCTCATGCTGAGGGGCTCGGGCAGGGGCCTACAGCAGTGCACACGTCCCCCCACAGGGAGCACTTAGATTTGCTCAGCACCCTCTCTTCCCTCCCTCCCTCCCTCCCTCCCTCCCTCCCCCCCCACACACACACGCACGCGGCAGGCAGGGCGAGGGAGGTGCTCCAATCTCCTTTGCACTTGCCGATGCCTCACTCCCGGCTGCCCCTGTGCTCCCTCCTCCTCCCCCTCCCCTCCTTCAGTGCGTGCCCTCTCCCGGAGGGGCACACGCGCGCCTTGCCAGTTCCATCACTCGCTCCGCGCCCCTCTCAAAAAGCCCCTCCCACCACACTTTTGAGCACATCCGTGGTCTGGAGTTTGCAAAAAAAAAAAATACACCCCGCTCTCATCTCATTCCTTTTGCCTTCCATGCACCGTCGAGTGCTCGGGCTTTCTCTTTGCTGTCGGCCCCCGCCGGGGCGCGGTAGGGGCGTCCCAGACGAGGAGAGGGGCCCATCAAGATCTGCCATGCTTGGCGCTGTGGCTCTGCCCTGTGACGAGGGGGGAGGAGGAAAAGGCAGGGAGGAGATGGATGAGCTGCGTTACATTGGCGTCCAGGTTGGCTCCTGGCCGACTGGCGGACCCGAGCTAGTGGCTGTTTCTCCGCGAGGCTGCCCAGCGGAGACCGAGCTAACAACAGCCAGGGAGAGATGGAGGGCCAGGGAAAGGGGGAGCGAGCGAGGAGGGAAGAAAATACCAGACCCAATGTATGCCCTCTCTCTCTCTCTCTCACACACACACACACGCACGCACGCTCACGGCCCACACTCAGGGAAAGGTGCGCCAACACCGGACTCAGGAAGGATGCCAGCGGCGGAGGGTAATCCCGGGCCGACCCCCCAAGAGAGGTTTGGGTCCGCGTCTGGCGCCAGAGCAGCGGACGCACAACGGAGTGGTAACCCCCCGCCCCTGGGCTCCCCTGACTCCTCCCACCCCGCGCCCCTCACCCCTCGCCCCTCGGACCGAGGCCATTCTGCGATTCATGGGGCCAGCTGCCTGGAGTAAGACATGGCGCCCCCTTTTGGCCTGCGCCAGTTTCGCCGGGCTGGACCAGGAAAAAAAAGTCCCAAATGCGTTTGCCGCTTCTCGGCAGCTCGCCGGCCGCCCCCGCACCGCCCCCCGGGCTGGAGGGGGAGGCGAGACAGAGAGAGAGAGAGAGACAGGGGCGAAGGGGGGTGCCCGCGCACATAGGCACACACACACACACACACATTCACCAAGGATGAGTAATGAGCCCGGCCGCGCCGCGGCAAAAGGCCAGCCACCCCCGGCGCATGTTCGGCCCCCCCCCACACCGGCCCATGTTACCTGACGCAGGAGTTGTGCTTATACGGGCGAGCTGGGCACGCCAGGCGACGCCGGGCATCCCCCCCCCTCCAGAAGCGAAAGGCGGACCCCACTTCGCCGGCCCTGCCGCCGGTACACCCTGCATCCGGGCCCGCTACCTGACTCGGTTTGTCTCAAACGGTGGTAGTGAATTTCAAATCATCGGCGCAATCCCAAAGACCATTCTGGGCACCATTACATGTATCACGAGCTCCAATCACACTACCGGGTCACACCGATCCCGGAGTGGGCGCCGCCCCCGCGCACCGGCCCAAGGTGTGTGCTGCCGGGGCGAGGGCACACATGCGGGTTGGTGGCGGCCCGACGCGCACGCACACGCGCTTGCTCCGAGATCGCCGGCCCTCCATGTGGCCCCGCCGCCTGCCTTTGGGCGGCTCTTCAGCCGGTGCGCGGTGCTAGGCTTGGCCCGGAGCGTGCCGGCAACTCTCCCCCACCTCGCCCTGTCCCTCCTCCTCTGGCCCTCTCTTCCTGTCCCCCCCCTGCTCACCCCCACCCCCACCCCCCTCCCTGCCTTCCCTCCCCTGCCACGCATTCTCCCCTCCTCTGTGGGATGCTCTCGCGTGCGCGCCACTTTCTGAAACTCCCCTCATCACGGCCCGCCCTCCTCGCCCTGCTTCAGCCCCACCAGCCGGGACGCTTTGCCCGCGCCACCGTCGTCGCGCATCTCCCCTCCGCGTGCCCGCACCCCGCGCGCTTCTCCTCGGCCGCCCCTCTTGCCATGAGTATGGAGGACCTGTCCCCCGCGACGGCCAATGTCGAAACCTCCGACGCCGGCGTGAAGCGCAAGCGCCCGGAGGGTGATGCGCTGGAGCGCAATGCCCCGGCCGCCACGCGGCGGCCCGGGGCCCCGGCCGCCTCCGGCAATGCCCCGGCCCCCTTCTTCGAGAAGGACTTCGGCATTGAGCTCTACATTTCCTCCGATCTGCCCCCCATCCCGGGGCTCATCAAGTACCGGTACTCGGATTTCATTGTCAACGAGATCGCCGAGGATGGCACGGTCATCCGCGTCACCGAGATGAAGCCCCTGTGCGATGAGGTCCCGGCTGCGGCTGCGGCTGCGGCTGCGGCCGCGCCCCCCGAGGCTGCTGCTTCTGAGCCCGCTGCCGCCGCGCCCGAGGCGACGCCCGCCGCCCCGGCCGGGCCTTCGGAGGATGCCCAAGCTGGCTTGGCCTTTTTGAGCCGTCTGCTTGGGGAGGACATCCTCGCCGAGCTGAAGGAAATGAACGCCGCCGCCGAGAGCGACCCCACCCTCAAGCGCACCACCCACTTCAAGGTGCATGGCTCCTCTCGCTCCTCGCCTCCTGCCTCCTCCTCCTCCTCCAGCCACATTACTGCGGTCTGTCACTTGCCCCTGCCCAGTCGCCGAGCTGACAACCTCCTCCCCCTTCCCGCCTTCCCCCCCCTCCCCATCCTCCTCCCTGGCCCCAGGCCCCCGAGGACAAGGACGATCGCCGGCAGCTTCACAAGGCCGTGCGTGATGCCCTCCCCCGGCTGGAGACCTCTTTCGTCCGGCCCGGCGAGCGTGGGTATCCGGCTGCCCCGGTCGACTCGGCCGATGCCGCTCCTGCCCCGACCGACACCATGATCGCTGTGTCGGTGGCCAAGTTCGTGCAGGGCCAGCGGTCGCGTCGCTCGACCGGCGGCGGCCGTGCCGGCAAGCGCGGCCTGCCTGCCTGGCCCGAGGACCGGCCCCGGTACTGCGAGTTCCACCTGGTCAAGGCCAACCGCGACCACTACAACCTGGTGTTCCTCCTGCAGAAGATGCTGCGCACGGGCAACAATGTCTTTTCCATCGCCGGCACCAAGGACAAGCGGGGGGTCACGGTGCAGCGCGTCCGTGCGTCCATGATCACGGCCACTCGCCTGGCCGGCCTGTCGCGCGAGCTCCGCGGCGTCAAGTTCGGCAACTTCTCCTATGTCTCCGGGCCACTGAGCCTGGGCGACCTCAAGGGGAACCGCTTTACCCTGGCCATCCGGTATGTGGCATGCTCATTCCGTCTCTCTCTCTCCCTCTCTCCCCCCCCCCTCTCTCTCTCTCTCTCTTTCCCTCTCCGTTTCTCTCTCGCTCGTTCAATTTCCCCCGAATGTTGCCCCTCTGCTATGTTCATCGGTCTTTCGGTATGCCCGTGATAGCCGTCCACTCACCTCCTCGTCACAGCAATGTGCAGGGCGATGAGGCCACCATCGCCGCGGCCATCGGCTCCCTCCAGGAGAAGGGCTTCATCAACTACTTCGGCATGCAGCGATTCGGCACCGGCTTCGTCCCAACTCACAAAATTGGTGAGATGATGCTCCGCCGCGACTACCAGGGGGTCTTCCACACGGTGATCTCCTCTCTGGCCCAGGGGTCCGGCAACACTGGGCTCATGGATGCCTTCCAGGCGTATGTTGCCCAGCCGACGGTCCCGATGCTGGAGAAGATCCTCCCGCACTTGGAATCCCGTCACTTGATCGAGATTTCCTTCGTCAAGTCCCTGATCCAGCATGGGCCGACCTCCTTCCAAAACGCCTTCTCCTCGGTGCGTTCATCCGGCTGCTGACGCCCTTCCCGTGTCCCTCCCCCGCCTCTTTTTTTTTTGTGCTGACCTCCCTCTCCCTACGTGGCATATTCCCCCCCTGCTCCCCCCCGCCCCAAAAAAAAGCTTCCCCGCCACTTGCGTTCGCTGTATGCCCATAGCCTCCAGAGCTTGATCTGGAATCGTGCCGTCAGCGAGCGCGTTCGCCGGTTCGGCCTGGTCCCGGTGGTGGGTGATCTGGTCTTGGACCCGGCTTCGCGCGGCACGGCTGACGGCCTTGTCGCCGATGACGCGGAGGATGCCGCTGTCCTGGTCGACGCCCAGGCTGGCAACGAGAAGAAGCCCATCGCCAAGGCCATCGCCATCACCGAGGATACCCTGGCAAACTACACCATCGATGATGTGGTTCTACCCATGGCCGGTGCGGATATTCTCTTCCCCCCCAATATGCAGGACTTCTACAATGCCGAGTTCGCCAAGCTTGAGATGGATCTCCAGGCCTTTAAGGAGCAGGCCACGTGCGTCTGTTTCTTTCTTTTCTCCTTTCCCCGCATCCCCTCCCCGGACCCGCACGCACGCACGCACGCACATCCATCCATCCAGCCAGCCATCCATACTTTCCTCCCTTTCCTTCTTGCCACCCTCTCACCCCTGCTACTCTCTGAGGCCGTTGGTGCCTCTGCCCTCCCCCGACATTCCCAACGATAGCAAGCTCGTCATTTATGGCGCTTATCGCCCGCTCCTTGGTCGTGTCCAGCAGCTCGAGTGGTCGACCATGCGCTACGCCGATGTCAATGACCACCTCATGCTCACCGACATGGATCGTATTGAGAGCCCGGATATGCCAGAGCCTGTGTCCAACCCGGGTATGTCCCCCCCCCCCCCCACCCGTGTCGTCGCTGCCCTCTTCTCTCCTGCCTTGCCCCTAACAAATGGCTCTTTGCCCCCCCCGGCTTTCCTGCAGATGGCCAGTACCTTGCTCTCCTCATGTCCTTCAGTCTGAACTCTTCGCACTATGCCACCATGGCCCTGCGAGAGATCCTCAAGGTCGAGACCAGCAGCGCCCAGCAGACCCTCCTCTCCTAGACGCTTGTCATGCTCCTCCTTATCGGCCCCCTTCGCGACTCCCCTTCACAGGTGTCCCGGCCAGTCGCGCGGTTTGCTGTTTGCTGTTTGCGCTCTGCACACGCATACCTCCTCCCCCCTTGTCCTTCCCCTCGGCCCAGTGGTCTAGAATACACTTGAGAACTGACTCGCAGGCAGCGCTTAGAGGTGAAAGAGCGGATACCGCGTGAATGTATGTATGTATGTATGTGTGTGTGTGTGAATTCTGCCGTCAGACAGCCCGGACCATCAGTGCCACGCCGCTAGTCCGAGTCGTGATCCTCGTCGTCGGAATAGAAGCCAGCCGAAATGATGGCCCCCTTGAGGAAGGAGTCACGCCGGATCTCGCTCAGCAGGGTGGACAGATTGTCACGTCGGCGTTCACGGACCCAGGCCTCGCCGATGGCCGGATGGGACGCCGGCGGCGGCGGCGGCGGCGACGACGACGATGAAGACGACGACATCGCCGCCGCACCGGCCTCTGGCCCGCCAGAGCCGGCTTCCGGCTGGACAATGAGACTGCCACGAGCGCGAAGCTTCGCGATGGTCCGCTGTGAGGTGACCTTTTCATCTTCATAAATCCCCTGCACGCAACGCAAAACCTGGGCATCCCTCGACAGTTTGTCCAGCGACGCTGCCAGGGCCGATCGATAGGCCAGCCGCGAGGCACTCTCGATGGAGCGAGTCAATGCCGCACGCCCGAGCTCCGGGTGCCCCTCGGCCAGGGTGAAAAAGAGAGCCATCGGCCCGGAGGGCTGACTGCCCGGGTGAGGCAGGGCCGCGGCCGAAAGGACACCGATGCCCTGGCCCGAAGCAAACCCCCCTCCGCCTGAGACCGGGGCCGCCGTCGCCCCGGCATCATCCAGGGCGGTTACCGTGCGCAGGCTCAACAGCAGCAGGCCAGCCGACGAGTGGGCAGCACAGCTCCGGGCAATTTGCCGAATGAGCTGATCGCACCGGGCGATGCAGTCATGCCAGGCGCGCTCGGTGGCCGGGGGAGCAGAGGCAACGAACTCCGCATTTGACAGCCGACAGGCGGAGATAATGCACCGAGCGCTGATGACAAAGTTCATGAGGGCCAGCCAGACAGTTTCCACGAGCGGGTCGGTTGTCTGGCCCGGAGCAGGTGGCGGGGGGGCATTCGCGGAGCCGGAATCCAACTGGGCCGATTCCCAGGCCCCACCACTGCCGACGGGGTACATGTCCACCGTGCTCACCGTGACCGAGCGCGAGGCGATCGACGCCCGCTGACAGAGGGCGATGGCGCTCAGTGCCAGGTTTTCCAGCTTGCGCATCGCCGCCTCGGCGCGGGGCAGGCTCTCATGGACGACCAGCGGCCCGGCCTCAGGAGCCACCATGGACTCCAGCGTCCGGGCGATCATCACGGCCAGGGACTCTGTGGCCCGCGAGTACACGCGAATGGCGCCCGGCAGGTCGCCGGAGACGCTAAGCAGATAGGCGGATGCCTCGGCAATGCCGTTCTTGTTCGTGATCGCTAGCGCATGCTCGAGGGGGATGCTGTACAGGAGGGGGGCGGGGGGGAGATGCCACATGAGTCGTCAGGATGCAACCAAAGTCGAGGGGGAGCCACGAAAAGAAGAGACAGGGAGAGGGGGCGGGGGGGTGAAGAGGGTAGAAGGAGGAACAGGGGGCAGCAACGCACGTGCTATTGCGCTTGAGCCAGCCGCAGACATTTCCCGGCTCGCAGATGCACATCAGCTCGAAGTACATCATCTGGAGGCTGGCATACTGCACGGGGGCCAGCTTGGCCAGAAGCTGGTGGAATGTCTGTCCGACGACCGAATGCTCCCGCGGAGGGGTGGTCAAGCGACTCTCCTCCAGCAAGTGGGAAAGGAACTGGATGGGCCGGCTGTCAGGTCAAGCAGGGGGCGGGGGGGGGGGGGGGGGGGGGGGGGGGGGGGGGGGGGAAAGAGGGGGGGGGGGGGCCGCGGCAACATGTGTGGGGGTCCTTCAATTTCC